ACCACAAACCCGCAAATGGCTACCGTTTCATTGACTAGATAGGAGAGATAATGAAGGGCAAAGGGCACCTCTAACTGTTTGATCGAACGAGGGCTTTTGAGGTGCGGTACTGTTGGAGGGGAACTGTCTGGGAGGCATCTGTATAGGAGGCATAGGAGGTGATGTACTACTGGTATAGGTGTTCTTGACCTACAGATAGAGAGGACCTGCATGTCCTACATTGTCATAGACTCAGGAAGCAGAGGGCAAGACTGAACACCTGTACGCGGTCTCCTCTACGAACCTGGGAGTGAAATATTCTCCCAGAGCCAAGTTCAGTCAAATTTCGCAAAACCCAACCAGTTGGCCCACAAGGCAATAATTCAAAATACCCCCCCCCACGTCGTTTTTTCGCTCCCAACGAGTTTGACTCCTACCTAAGTTCACCAAATCTACAAGTACGACCTAGTACATCCTCATCCCAATGACCACACCTCTCTTCGACCTTCTCTGGCCTGAATTGACCACCAAATACACGCCCACGCCGATATTTATACCCGACAAAGGAAGCAAAGCGTGGCGCACAAATCTGGGACACATTTCTTTGGGATGGACGTGAGAGGGATTAGGGCAAGTTGACAAGATGATGTAAAGGAAGGATACAATCTCAAAGGGCGTCAAATTCCGAATTTTGGCAAGGAGTTTTACGGATTGGGCTTTGTGCGCGCCAGGACTTCGCTTGCGAGAGTGCAGCTGACACTATAAACACAAGCAAACGATGTAAGGTGTTGTGGTCCGCCTCCTGGTGGTGTTCTCCGGTATAGTTTGAGTAGCCTGGGCACCTACTCCACTTGGGAAGGAGACATCTCAGATTACATTTCGCGCGGAGAAAGGTTGATGGATGACGGAGGCATGTCTGGATAACCGCGGGTTTTTGAGACGTTCCCCTGGGTGGGTATTCACGGATGAGGGTTGACTTGGGGTGAAGAATAAGCCACCATAACTTCGCAGTGGTCCTTGCAAATGAAATCCGAGGCATGAGAGCTTCTCTTGTAAATTGAGTCATCTTTTCTGTATTTTTCTTTGATATTGTGTCATAGCTAGATAGCTGCATACGCAAATTAAAATCTGATGCAAAAAAAAGACTCAGTCAGCACAATAAAATGAATTAATAATAACAACAGGCACCCACACATATTCTAAAGTAGAAATTATTCCGAAAACATCAGTCCCAGCATGCTCACAAGAAAACTATTCCCTCTCTCATTCCACGCTTCAGCCGCCTATTTTGCAGGTTACATAGCGCCGTTAGAGCAATAGTCCTCTACAAGCCAGACATTAAGCTTTGTATATTCTAACTAATTTCCTCCTTGCAGATACACATAGCGTCGTAGATTTTATGGTGGGTGTCGGCCGATAATTCATGAGACAAGCTCCCGTTTGAGAGTAGAGCAACTGCTTGACCGGTCCTTGAGGTGATGTGGTGTGTGATGAGATTGGGTCAGCGAACTCGCGTGAGGATGATAGGTCCGACATTGATGAGGAGTGATAGATCTTAGATATGCTTGAGGTTGCCCTTGAAATCGCTTTGATACGATTCTTATTAACTATCCTACATGCGCAAAGTATACTGAGCCATTATAGCAGCACCACTGGAAGGTAATGAAAGCATCTTACAGGCGAGTTAATTCTCTTCAATTCGTGGGCATGATACGTGTGACACCAAATCTCATATCTAGCAGCAAATGAGTACCGGCAATGATCAGTTTTTCACCTCGTAGCGCTACGAGTGTAGACGCTCAGTCTGCTCTGCATACCTCGGATTGACAAGAAGAATTGTGACCGAATCAAAGTTGACAGCAGCCACTATCATATCCATCAATAACTACTCATCATCAGTTTCAGTCCTACCACTAAATCTTACCACACACTACCTCGTCTCAACGACCGTTCAAGTAGCTGGTCCAGTTGCAAATGGAAGCTTGCCACACCAATCACCAGCCATTTTTCACCATCAAATTACAATGTCTAGTTTTTCCGTAAGGTGAAATATAAGTCATAATTTACAAAGGTCGGGTCTTGGCCTATGGGGGACCGTTATTCCAATGAGGATTCATGTCTTGAGTGAGGACAGGCAGATGAGACGTAGGCCGAATGAGTGGTGAGGTCACAAATGGGCATTCTTGGACGGAAATTTATCGAGTGTTTTCAACTTTGGAGTACTTTTGGCCGCCCAGGCAACGATTTTGGATAGTGCTACCGACACTCTTAAAATAGACAACGATGGAAGGTGTTTTGGTCCGCCTCCTGGTCGTAATCTCCCCAAATTAAGGCCTACGTGGCTTGGACACCTACCTCATGCGAGAAAGGGAGGACTGTGAGGCCATATCTCGCGCGGCGGCTTCATACAAGAAGTCAAAGGCACGTTAGGGTAGTTAATAGTTTTTCCAGTTTCCCCTTTGGTGGATATGAATGGTTGATGGAAAGGTGGAAGTCCCCAGGACAAAGGTCTAGAGTGGTATCAACGAATCCACCCACTACTTGAGTATTCCAACGGTCAAACTTGACTATTGTCGTATATAGTCGTCGGGGAAAGACCAGCCTTCTCTGTGTAATTTATGAGTGCTAGGCTTGTGCCCGTCACAAATATGTATTTATCAATCTATATTCGATTCTAAGGGAAAATCCGAAGTTAACGATGACACACTTAAAGAAGTTACATGTCAACAGATATATCATAGTGACATCTTGTGTCTCACGCTCACACATATGTCAAGGGAAGAGACGCGTAGAAAACTTCCATCAATGCAAACACTGTGAAAAAGATGATATATCTAACATTCAAATGACATATTTATGACTTGTTTTAAACTTGAATTTAGAGTCTGGGTGTGATATGAAATTGGCTATTGACAATGAAACCGTCTTGATGATTATTTGTCGTCTTTACCTAGATGGCAATGAGGACCGAGGCATCTCACGGAAAATAAACACAGCCACATTAATCGATCATCATCTAGATATTTGTATTTATATTATGTAACTCATTCATGTTGTCTACACGACTTGGGTATCATATGATGCCAGAGTTGACAATCATTTTCCAATTCAAACATATGGGGGTAATGAAAGAAAGTTAAAATTGCATTTGATTCTGCACACTAGGGGCCCATGCAGGAATTTTCGAAATATTAGTTTTTGATATGGAATGAATGGTTTTGGCCTTTAAAGCACTTACACTCGGATTTTATTCATAGTTACTATTCGAGGTCAACTCTTGCGGTGTGGAATTTCTTCCAACATTGGGTAAAAAGTGGAATACCCCTAATTATCTGAGTGTGCTTTTGTCGCTCTGTAGATACGATATCGGCGCGAGAGAATGTGTTCTGTACGTCTTGCTGGGCTCGAGGCAGTTTTCTCCTGTCTCAAATGGGGTAGGTGTTCGGGACACCCAGAATCTCCTGGGGCCAGCGGCCTGGATCGCGTACCACTGCACCATTTAGTCCAAACAGGCGTATGGGAAATAATTTTCATCGACCAATTGCCTGGCTTCAGCTAGCAACCTAAAACACGGCCATGCCTATATGAGTATCCGCAGGCGGACATAATCTTGAAGCACAAATCTGAGAGGCAGTTCTATGGTATGAACTGAAGAGAATTCGGGATAATTCTTTGCAGTGATGGAGAAGATTGATACAGTCTCGACGGGGCTGAGATTTCGACTTTTGGTCTGGAGTTATTCAAATTGAGCATTCTGCGCGACGAGCCTTTGATGGCGAGAGTGCAGCTAACACTATAAACACAAGCCAATGATGTAAGGTATCGTGGTCCGCCTCTTGGATATTATCCCCGGCATGGCTTATTTGTTTTGTATTTAAGGCCTATCTAAAAACGGGCATATGCCCGTCTTATCTAAACCCCAAATGGGCAAAGGATGCTAAGGCTTACTGCCTCAGTTTTCGGAGGGCTACGACTCCCTACCAGGAAGAGTGAGACTTGATTAACCATTAAAGAGAGTATCCGATGACTAAGATATGACAGTGATAAATGATGGAAAATATATACGGGAAAAATAAAACCCCCTTTTGTGTAAACGAAGTTCCCACAAGTGAGAGGGCAAGTTGGTACGAAATAAACTGGTACAAAGCAAGCTGAAAGGTTGCCACCTTGACTTCTATCATTTCAAAGTCCCATCTGATCATCTGACGCTCCGGCCGATATCTTCAAGATCTCGAAGGGGTTTAAGAAAAGAGTCCGCTTGGCTGCGGCAGCGATTCTTGATGGTCCTGCTCCCTGGAAAACTGTTGGATAGCTAGTGTGCTGTACTGTATGAGAGGTGCTGAGGCCCTGCGTAGTATCAGAGGATTTAACGCATCCTGCTTCTGCTGTGCGGCGGATGCGTGCCTCAGAGAAGATCTTCCGGATGGCAATAACCTGTGATTTTGTCTTTGGTGGACTAGAGGGTTGTGGCCGTAGCTCACAAGTTGGGTCGTCGGCTGGATGAGGGCCATGATAGTGGACACATCGCGGTAGGCCCCGGCATGGCTTGAGTAGTCTGGGCGCCTTCTCTACTTGGGGAGAAGATGCCTCAGATCGCATTTCGCGCGGAGAAAACTCAATGGACGATGGAAGCATTTCTGGATAACTCTGGGTCCTTGGAATTTCCCATGGGTGAGTATTCATGGTTAAGGGCTGACTTGGGGTGAAGAAGAAGCTGCCATTACTTCGAAGTGGTACCTGCAAATAAAATCCGTAGAATGAATGCTCTTCATATATGTTGAGTCATCTTTTTTGTACATTTCCTCCGCTATTGTGTCCTAGCTGGATAACTGCCTGCGCGATCATGGTGTGAACCAATAAACAATATAGCAATCTGCAATGTCTGATCGAGTGGATGAAGACGGGCCGTGCGCCAACTAGACCAATGAGAATAAACCAAGGACTAACCAACACACCCAATGAAAATTACTGACTAAGCCCATCATGGCCTCGAAAGGCGCGCGATGTGTTGAGCGCGCAGAATGTTAACTAAGCCCACTATGAGCCGTCTCTACAGAGCCTTAGTCTCGCAAGCTTCATGGAGGCAGACACAGGCCCTGCCGGCGTCTCTACGACGCGGCCCCATCGCGGCCTTCTCTAAATCCAGCTCCAGCTCATACCCGTCTGAAAGCAGCAGCAGCGGCGAATCCCCTGCGCTCCCCGTCTCGAGCAGTCCAGCTGGCACAGTTCTCCGCGGCCTCAACTACATTCAAGGCCACAACGATCCCATCGCGCTCGCCGAAAGCCACTACCCTGCCTGGCTCTGGAGCCTCCTCGATGAGAAGAAGGCATCAGAGAGCGCCGACGCCGACGAGGACTCGGATCTATTCGGTGCGCTGACCTGCCGCCTATCCATTGTAGCACCCCGCTAACACTCAATCACAGCAAAATCTAAAAAGCTCCGACGAAAGGCTGCCAAGCGAAGCCGGAAACTCGAAGCCATGCGTTTGGCATCTGGACAAGTTTTGGAAGTCAAGGTCCCTCTCACACAGCAGTCCATTGATCTACCCGCAAACGAAGAGGGTACCCTAGAAGGAGCACAAAAGGCGGAAGAAAGCCGAAAGGAGCTTAAGATGGCCATGAGATCAGAGCGGCGAAAAATGATCAAGCAGAAAAACTACTTGAAGAGTGTATAAAACATCAAAAAAACAATCTGTGCATTTACAGCATACACGCGCTACACTTTATCTCTGGCTACTGCGTGGGAGAACACGTAGGAAGGATGCGTGATTATTCCGACCGCAGCGGAAATACTGCGGTCTCTGGTTGACGTTCGGGAGCAAAATTAATTTCTAGATAACTATAATTAATCTTCACCGTCTACTATTGCTGCTTTCTTTGACTCTAGTTCTGCGCGCAGCTTCCGTGCACCCTCCTCTAAACGTCTCCTCAGAATTGGATTTGATTGCGTAGCTTGGGCTGCCAAGTTTGCAGCAATTCGGTCCTCAAGGTCGGTAATGTCATCCCTTACTGCAGCCTCTTGCATTTGTCTCTTCTTCTCAGCTTCGTCAACATCCTTTACCGTATTTCTTATGAGTCCTTCCTCTTCCTCACCATCGAGTGACTCGTCCCCACTGTCTTCTTCTTCGACAGTCTGGTCCCAGTTGGCTTGGGGCGTGGCTACGAGATTGGAAGGAGTCACAGTATCATAATCTTCATCCAGAGCCGCTTCTAGCTCTGCTTCAAGATCCAGATCGATCTCTTCTTCTTTAACCTCAGGCTTTGGTTGGTTTGCAAGTACCTGGTCATAGTATCCACTCTCGTCCATGTTCCCTTCAGCATACTCATCGCAGGCAAAATCATTGAAATCTTCACCTGCACGACTACTCGCCGGACTAATCGCTTGACTAGCCATCCTGTATTCCGCTTCTGGGTCAACTATTTCATAGGATGTGTGAATAGAACGTTCGTCCTCCTTCAGAAGCCTTTCCACTGCGTCCTCCATAGCCTCAATCTGAGTCTTGTGAAGCCTTTTCCGGAAACGACGCTTCCGAGCATACTGCATAGGTGGGGTGATACCATGAGGATACTGATGAGTGACTGGATCCACAGCAGTAGGCAGTGGGATGGTTAGGGCTTCAGCTTCCGTCTTGATGGGAGCAAAGACGAGGAGCATCTGCGCGATGTCGGCGCTCTTCCACCACCCCCTCTTATCCCAACTCTTCATGGCTTCCAGAATGCAGGGAAGATCAACCATCGTAGCCGCATACATTTGATCGCGAATGGTAAGAGTAGCTCGTCTTCCGTCTGGATCCAAAAACTTCATATTGATATCCCTTGCGACTCCAATTTTCTTTTCCGCAATCAGCTGCCGTAGGTACTCACAGTTTTCACTACTGCCCAAAATACGAATTATGAATTGCTCTTCAATGGCTGGATCTTCTTCTCGGTCGCTTGCCTCTGAATCATAGCCCTCTCCAGGATTTCGCCGTGGGGGCTTACCCTTCTGCTTGAAGACTAAGGCAGGCGTAATAGGGGTTTTCGCAGATGTCGGTGTGCTTGTGTTCGTAGTAGCCACCTGTATCTTTACACGCTTCGGTGGAGGGGCCCGTACTTTGCCCGCAAGTTCCTCCTCTGAAAAGCTGTCTTCTTTCACGCGCTTTCGGCCATCGAGGATCTTTGTACTAGGCTTTGAAGCGCGTCCTGACTTAGTCTTTTTTGCATCTGGCGCGGTCGGCTGGGAAGATAGTGGCGGTGGCAAGGAGCTGCGAATCTTGATGCGCGGCCCATTGGCCGTCAAGGGCTGGCTTGCATTTGGAGATGTAGAAGCTGGGCCGACGCCAGTATTGAGTTTGAGCTTGAGGCTGATGCCGCTCATGGTGAGGGCGGGGATGGAATGAGAGGGGTGCCGTGGACGCTGGGCTAAACGTGGTGATGGATGTCGCGCTCGGCCACGATGTAGACGCGGCCAGGGCTCACGAGAAAGGACATGTGCGGCAGACGTGACACGAGCGCTGGGCAGCGTGGTCGTGCCGCAGCCCGCCGACCTCACAACCGCCATCCCACCGCGCACCGTCGGAGTCGCGAAGCATGAATAATCCTCAGGCGCTCCACCACTCACTACTGCGACCATGCGTGCTTCACATCCTCCGCGCTGCCGGATATCATTCGACTCGTCCTTCTGTCCTCGATACCCTCACCGACCTCACGGCTCGATATCTCAGCATCCTCGCGCAAAGGACCATCGCCCACGCCTCCCTGGCGCACACGGAGCCCGAGCTCGCCCTGCAAATCTACCTACAGCATGTCCGCATGGCCATGCAAGACTGTGGAACCCTCGGTCCAGAGCTAATGATGCAAGAACAGGACTTCAACGAGTCGGAAGATACGAGGGGCGTCGATGCATTCATCGCGTGGGCCACAGGACCAGAAGCGCAAGAGATTCGGAGGATTGCCATTGAAGGAGGCGAGGGCGGCAAAGACGATTATCTCACTGGTTAGTCTTCTCAAACGCCCAACCGCGCCGTCGTCTAACTTTCGCAGTCCTGAAAAAGAAACAGAGTCTGAACGGAGATGAGGAATCAAGGTACACCGGGACCATACTGGGGAGAGAGGCAGAGCCCCGTATGGTCAAGATTGAGGGCGGCGATATCACGAACCTAAAGGACTGGTCGGAGAATCTAAAGAAATCCAGGCCGTCCGAGGGCCTGACGAAGCTTGATGAGAGACCTTTGTCTATCCCCGGCTCGCCCGAAGATGTGAAAATGGAAAGTGTAGAGTAATGATGGCGTGTGAGAAGTGCTGGGCTAGGGACATCCGGTCTAGAGCTCAAATCACCGTACACCTTGCCGCAGCTTCCCATGTCCCGCAAACAGTTCCATGATCTCAGAACCATATGCTCGGCCCTCCAACGCACAATTTTCGTTTCCAAGCATTACTAGCTCTCCCATCGAGCCCTAATGGCTGTGATTAATGGTTGCGCTCGCAATCTTTGATGCTGTAAAGGGCAAGACCTCAAAATCTATCAGAATGTTTTGAACTAAATGAATTGACGTTCAAACAAGAATTTAAAAGTTATTCATGTAGCTTTTAGCAGTCTTTCACGATCTTAGACTCAGTGGAGACTACAATTAAAATATAATCTAATCTAATTTAGTGCTGTATAGTGTTGCTCTGGTTTTATGAAATTACAACCTCTTGCCTTACATTCCACTTATATCGAGTGACCCTTGGTGTTATCACCGTCAACTGTGACGAGCTGTGGCATGGAGAGATTCGCCGCCTTGATGGCACAATGCGATGTTCTCGGCTTCTGTCGGCCCACCTGGATATCGTGAATCGCTGGCCGCGGAAGCCGGTGCCAGCCATATTGGCGCGACGCGTACCTTGTAGAGTTTCAGACTCCCCAAGCTCCAGCTGATAGGCCAGTGCGGCGCAGTAACTACCCCTACTGTTCGCGTACGTACCTTCGGTCATCTTTCTGGGACAATCGATCGTCCACTTTCACCGAGCACGCCTTTCAATACCGATCGATTACTACAACAATAGTCAAAAAGCACAAGAGTGACGTGGGGGGAATGGATTCTGGCGGTCATTTACTATTTTTAACCTACCGCCGGTGCTGAAAATACGACATATTTGACCTCAGCTAGCGGTTGTGACCGTCGCAAGATGTAGACCATATAGAAAAGGAGTGTTCTCCGGAATTTTCATTACAATTAGCTATTGGCAGTTACTCTGTTAGACCAAATCCTAGATCCCAAAACACTCATGTTCCCCAAGACACGGGAATCCAACGCTTGAAATTATAGCTCCTGTACACATTCCTCTAACTTTGACCAACTGGAAAACAGCCACCTTCCCAACTTCATATTAATCATAAATGCCAGCGTCTTCGCACAATAAAACACAGTGTCTAGCCGCCTAATTTATCTCCTTATCCGGCACCAGCCGCGGCGATGAATAGCTTCTCCCGCTTCATAAACATGCTCATAACAAGCACAACAGCACCCGCAACGATACAGAGCGAGTAAACAGTCGAGATGGCCTCAACAATGGCCTCTAGTACTTTTTTCTGAAGATCAATGTCGAGATCTGCGACAAAGGCGCTTCCTGCTCCAGCTATTGCTCTGTCAATTTGACTACGGGAAGTTCCCGGCAAAATGGCAGCGAGAGATTTTTCCGATTTATTTAAAAATATAGAATTGGCTATAGCAAGGGCTATCGTGATGCCAGATACTTGTGCGCACGTGATGAATCCTATCGCAAGCGGAAGGAGATGCTGCTCGACCACAGCCTGAGCTATTGAAAATCCAGATTGTACAAATAGTCCGTTACCCCAGCCGAGAAGAATACTGTAACCGTATACGCTTGCCACTGATGTACTACTAGTAATGGTGTACATTAGTGCACCCCCGATAATGGTGAAAATACCTCCTGCGGTATACCATGGCATGTAGAGACCATATGCAGATAGTACACCACCATTGACTGCAATTCCGAAAATAAGAATGAAAATGTATGGAAGGAGGCGGACACCTGCTTCCAATGCAGTGTCACTTCGAGTAAATTGAAAGAAAATTGGAATCATGTAGATAGGGGTGAAGGTGGCAGCACCGCCAGCAGCTGTACAGGCGAAGACGGTGAGAATGGTCCGTGACGAGAAAAATTCGACAGGGAACACACGACGTTCTTTAGTGGTGAATATGCAGTAAGCTTGTTGTAGACCTAGTAGTATGAAAAGTGTAGCTGAACATACGAACATCCCGATTATTTTTGCCGAAGACCACGGATACTCCACTCCGCCAAAAGAAATTGCCATCACACCTGAGACAAATGCCCCGATAGTGAGAGTTCCACCGACATAATCCATTTCCCGAGCACGGTTGAGAAAGCTAACACCTGGACGAGGATTGCAACTTGGAATGATAAAAATGTAAATTGGAGCACAGGCTGCTCCAATACACAGATTGATGTAGAATGCCCATCGCCAGCTGGCAGAGCTGACGGTGAAAGCGCCGCCAATGATAGGACCCAATACTGTACCAAGGCCCCATGTTAATCCTGTGCTGCCAATGTAAATAGGTCGTTCTTTAATGGTAGTGGTGGCAGCCAGCAATGTCATTACCCCCACGTACATTCCTGAACCACCAACACCACAAATAGCTCGTCCGATAATCATTGTATCCATGTTGGGTGCTGCGCCACATATAGCAGAGCCGACTTCAAACATAGACACACAAAGTATGTAAGTCCATTTTGCATCGAATTGAGCGAATATCTTGCCCCAAATGAGATTTGTTGAGGCGGCGCCAATGAGGAATGATGCGCTGAGCCATGTAATTTTGGAGATAGATTGGAATTCCAGGACGATTACGGGCTGGATGTCTGCCACAATAGTATTGTCGAGAGCAAATAGAAAAGTCGATGAGAGAATGGAAAAAATTATTAGGACCCATCTCCACCCCGTTATAACCCTTACTGGGACAGGTTCGGTAGTTTCTCGCTGCTTTTCACAGTCTCTCTCGACACCAGTTAATGATGCGTCGCCGGATATCGTTTTTGGCTGTATGTCGGTAGATTCGGGCAAGCGCTTACTGTCATTTCCGTCTACATCAAGACCCTCATCTCCGTTGAGCTCGGCGTAAACCTCTTTGGCGTTTTCGTCAACGTCGGGATAGTTTTGTACAGCAGTCGCCATTGGAGTAATAGTAAGATGAACCGTTTGAGTGACCAGAGGATACAGTACACTTAAGTAGATTTCGGGGCCACTCCCTGTGCGTGAGCAGCTAGCTGTGGGGTACAGAATGGAGTGGTTAGCCTATACGAATTGACCTCGGAGTCCGGGAAGTGCTTTAAGGGATGGGCCGCTGCTGACTTAGTCTTAGTCCGAGAGTAGAATATGTTCCAAGTCCTAAGCTGCAAGGCTATACACCCTGTTACCTTAGTTGTTAACTCTATTGGAACTGAGCTTCATGACGCAGGAATATGACGATATATTGTGTATTATCTTCTATTTTAGTAGCCGCGCCAGTACACCACCAAATTTCTAGGCTTATCGTTTCTCGGTTACCAAGCATGGATGATAGTTAAGTCTATCCAATATACTAAGGTCGCCACCTGGTGCTTCATCGTTGTAACGCAGCGCCGCGCTGTGTAGCCAGCGAGGGTGATTGGGCGACGAATAATCAGAATCTCCAGCACTGATCAGTTCGCGACTTTTTTTACCATGGGTATACCCCTGTTCTACGACGGACCCGTGCACCAGCGAAATTTCGTACCAAACGGGCGCACTCAATTGTATCTGCGGGACCCATAAATTAAAACTCAAGCCAGGAAATCGCCGAGCTAGCCTAGCTAGGGACAAGCTTCCTGGTCCAATCGACAATTCCTAGAGCGATGTCGCTTGCAGACTGCTAGAGTGCAGTTGTTGTTTGCGTTTGGGGTAGCGCAAGGAAGTCGCCCACACCCTAGCCTCAAGAACCAGCACTTGTCACTGACTTGGACGGCATCTGGCCTGAGGCGCTGGAAATCCTGGTATCCCCCTAACCTCTTCCTAATTACGTATAGATAGTAAAAAAAGGAACCTCATCTAATATACGGCAAATGCATTTTGGCTTGATCTGTGAAGGAGGGGGCGGTCAGAATTTCTGAGGGCATACCAGGAATATGTAGCAAGATCTTAACCAGCCCTTACTGCTCTCACGTGTAACTATGGGTTTCATGGTGTGCGCAGGGTAATTTCTTATATTCAAATAGCAAGAATTGAATTGGCAGAAAGAAATATATCTTATTTTTGCACAAATCTCCCGACATTGCACAGGTGCGTGGCTTGGCCACACGTTTGTCGATCAGGTGGCTTGATAACGTTTCATTCCCGCTGACACATGGTCTCGGCAGTCGTCTTCCTCTTGATAGAAAGCCATTGCAGTCCGTATAGGTTCCGTGATCCGGACAAATAAAATGTCGTGGAAATCATCATCAAGACCGAAAGTCCGCCGTGGCTGCACACTGATGGCCCATTCACATCAACGGATTCGTCATAGTGTGGCGAAGGTACTAACGCACTTGCGGCCGCTAAGTGTCGAAGGGATCAAGCACGCTTTGCTGGCGCGCGTTCGTAGCGTGCGCCTTACCCCCGGGCTGCAGGAGGTCATCTTGACCTTGTCCCCTTCCAAATGCTGAATAAGTATGCTATGCTGAGGAACTCGCGGAGTAGACTATAAAGAGTAATTGATAACTTTCCGAACTCATAACCTCAACTTTACTGGATGACAGCCAGGCGTAGACACAGTTGTAGCAGCCGGATACCCGATCTAACAGTGAATTTAATGCGAAATTCGTCAGCATGAGCGTGCCTCTTTGTCTGCAGAAATAACCTGACTTCAAGATGCATAATTTCTTGCTGATTCTATATTTCACTACCCAAGCTGTCATTGATCTAACCCAAGGCCAAATTGCAATGTTATCCGGACATTTGAAGAGCTCCGGCTAGAAGGCCTGCAATATTTTTTTTGTTGACGAGTTTTCACGTACTTACATTAGCTTCGGAGAAAGGTGGTGATCATCGTTGTAAATGTGACCTGTAAGTACTGGTAGACGTATGACCTCCAATGTCAGACAACGTCCCAATGACAAATCAGGAGCCATGTGCCAACTGAATTAGCCTTGAATGAGTATAGCGTCCTGTGCGGGGTCACCGTAGACAAACTCACTCTTAGATATCGAGGTTCGACGGTTTGGCGTGTATTGCCAGCGAGTCGCGCATCTTCCCGCTGTAGCTAGGAACAGCAACAGTGAGTATGCTACACACTTTTTCGACGTCCCAATTCTTTTCGCAAGCCAAAATTTCGTGGTCAATCACAGCTCCGTCATACGACTCGCAACTTACCAACCTGCAAGAAAATAGTTGTCCCTTGGATGAACCTTTTACCGTCAGCATCAAGTCTCGACTTCTTCCAAATTACACTATCCTCCTCATTCCAACCTGTGTTGATCATCAATAACATGGTATCCAAAAGTGTATTGAATCTTTGTCCTCAATGTAAATATTGGCAATGCAAAGCCTAATCAATTAAAAGGATGGATCATGTCATGTTGTTTCAAGTAAGCCTGTTCTCTCTTTACGGTACAGTCCCTGTAAGAAGCTAGGGTGAAAAAAATGGATGAGAAGTTCGGCAACTGGATCGGATAGTATTCCAAATCGCTCGGCCCTGCGTGAGACTAGACACGATACAAATCGGACTTGGCTAAATAATTTACAATTCACACAAATCAGAATCGGTCGAGTATTGCTATTACCTCCATATACGTGTGGATCTCCCAAGTCGAATTGCCACTAGGCTCGATTACTTGTACCTCATCAACATCGTCTTTTGCCAACTTAGAAGCCTCTTTTCCACAAAATTAACTCTTCCGATGAATTAGTCTAACCGTCATCACCAAACTGAAGTCGATATAGACCAGGTACTTGATGTATCCAACCTTAGCTACATACTCAAAGCCATAGATGTACTGATAAGCAACAGGTAATACTTATCTATAGGAAGTTCACATTAGAGCATATACAGCTTTACAACGTGCAAACACAATTATTTCTCAAAGGTTAAGACTAAAAGAAATGTGGGACATAGCTTTGTTTGAGTTGGCATCGTTCATAAAATTACAAAGCCGATGGTCACAAGGCCATTCTCACAAACCTCCATTGTGAGACACTCGGGAACGACGTTGACGCCATGCATAACTTAGTCCATTCGGGGGATCCAAACGTATGCTATGTATGAATATTTCACACATACCTCTGACTCACCGCATAATGTTTGTAGATCTAGCCTGTTAATACCTATATAGTTGTGAGGACTTAATTAAGCGTCCATCAGTGTAGCTATATTTGAATCACAGATTTACAGGTTTAGGACCAACTGGTAGCATGCAATGTGAAAAAGAACAAATTTGATGCCTTTTGGTCTGTATGAATCTGAAATTACTTAGGCTGTGCAAGTCCCCACGCCTAACATCTTAGCCCAAGCCGGAATATACTTGTGAATTATTAAGGGCGACAATTGATCACAGACTGGGTTTACTGCGAACCAGGATTTTGTAACAAATCGTCTTTTTTTATGCCAAGTGTCCCGACCGTCACCTCAAATTCCCTCACAATCTGCCAGCACATCCAGAATTTAGCGATGAGCAGATCTGTTAGAGATTTTGTAGGCGTTGAGTTTGCCAGCCCCTTTCGTGGCGCCAGTAATACTGGTAGCGTTGGATAGATGCACAGTCGACGCAGCAACTGAACGCCAAATATGAGTGGAAATTCAATGATGCACTAGTTCGGAGGCCATCGCAGTACCAATGCTGAAGAGCCGCAGTGGTTTGATCGTCTTGACAGTATCATATTTGGTTCATATCAAAAAAACAACGGCGCTATCCTCGCGTTCTTAGAGTATTTTTGAGGTTTTTTTGCTAATTGGATCTTGGACCTACTAGCACATTAGACATCCACACAATTGATTTGCCCAGACTGTTGCTTCTACCATTTTTGGGCTTATTGTTAGGTGAGTTCCTAGCTAAGATATCACAAGGTTCCCTGAGGGAGCTGAGAGTCATTACTTAAGCCGTGAATTTGGGTCGTCTATGCGACTAGCGGAGTCTAACGTGATAAGTCGCATCATGCATTGCGCCCATGGCGTACACTACACTGTTGAGTGTTCACGCCCCCGAATCCTTGAGAATGAGACAGGTGTATGGGGAAGACAGGAATTCAAAGTCGGCCGGTCCTGAATCCTCTCGATCACTAAGCAACGAACTCTATTCGACCTGCATGAGATCACACTAGGCAAACGATTATGCACACGAGATGGATCTCCGCTACTTTGCATCTGAAGATCTGCCTATGGGAAAACTTCTGTGGGCTGACTAGCAAAGAGTTAGCTGCGGTAGTTGCCGTGGGACCGGGAACTCTAATCTCGAGACCCCATGGCCGCCATCGACTACCCTGATCATCAATCGCATGGTCCTTGGGTTGCGTAAGTGGATAGCTCAAGAAAGCAATTCGTTTTACTCTTATAACTCCTGCTCTAAAATAGAAGTGATGCAAATCATTTCCCATTGTGTAGCGTGCTTTGACTACATCCTTGAGTGTCATTATTGACAACTTGGCTGATGATGCCTCAGACTGGATGTAACGTCCAGCATTATTGTAAATTCGCGATCTGTAATTTATCAAACGATGCTACTTGTCAATTCGCAATGCAGTCCATTTCCTGGTTCCCGTTAATCGAATAGGCTGCTAACTGTTTACGGCTGCCACACAAATTAGCTGTCCACAAATTTCTCTGATTTGCCGGGCTATAGTTATTACAAGTACATGGAGTCTGATACGCATTGTTACCCACATAAAATTAACTACAGTGCACCTGAGTGTTGGCGCGTATGGTATATACTGACATGAGCTCCCCGTGATTGGTCGTAAAGTGTGGTTGATCTACAACGAATTATATTTTGTGTTCAAACAGATAAGTGCTCCAACATGCCATGTTCTCATAACCCGCTTGTAGGAAAATTATATCACATGCCATACCTCTGGTGTCGCAATATACGTTTCTCGGATGTGCGCCAGAGAAAGTTCCGATGCTGATGAAGCGGGCGAAATTTGATTAGTAAATGAACAAGCACTCAGACACTTACTGAGATATGAAAGAAAATTATTCGCTATATTCCACTATTTCGGAATTTACATGTCGGATTTCTCAGAGACAACCAGGCTGGCACTTACAAATCTTACCCCTTTTCCTAGACTCGAACGACAATATTCTCGTGTGGCCTTTGCTGAGACACGAATAAACGGCGCAAGGGTATCTCGAGATGGCTACCAGTTCAAAAGTGTGTGGGGCTCAATAGCCAGGCGTTACCCAGTCACTCACCAATTTGAAATTGGTCTTTTACCACTAATAATACGAAGTGATAGATTGAGAGGCTACATGGTACATCAGGCTGTTAGAGATGCACCAGGGTTACCACAGCGGTGGCCTTTGCAACTACCATTTCCGAGGAAGAAATGGTTGATACCATACTAGCAGGCGCCGGCTTGCCTAGATGATGTAGGTAGAGAGAGAGGTGTGTTTATTGTAGTACTTGAATCTTAGACTATCTAACAATTTGGGCTCCTTCCTGACCCAGGCCACATCTTGTACTGTGCTCCTATCTTCTTTTCTTACTTGTGAGATCATCGATATATTGGCCGTGATGAACAGCCATTCAGCTCAGTATTGACCCTTGGAATTAGGCCAGCGTTTCTACTGATCCTTGATATCATAGGGATTTGTGCACGCAATGTAAGGATAATTCGGGACATTCACAATTTGCCTCGTGATCAGTTATGGATGTGGCGGATAGCGCGGGCCTGCAGTTTGTGTTAAATAGAAGCTTCCTCAACACTAGTCCCACTGAATACAAGAAATCGCTCATTCGAATTGCACCAAAAATGGGTTTCCGTTGCACGGCAATGGCGATTCGGATAACAGAGACAAGCTAGGATAAGTTAAGGTTCTGACATTTCCCGTCATTGGATAATTATGGATGAATGTTGACTAAGGTATGTCAACAAATATACTCAACAGCGGAAATCGTGGTCACGGTTCAAGGTTTATTTGTCTCACTTATCAAACTGGAGTCATTTACCGTCACGAATAGGCTGAGGCCACGAGCGCTAGCCGTAGCCTAAATTGAATTTGTCGTGGAAAGTTCGAGGCTAAAAAGCCTGAGTGGTGGAGACCGGGCCGACCCCTATTGAGCTTCAAGTTGAGTTTAACCTCCTTACACGCCAAAAGCTAAGCCACGATCGGTTTAGTCTAAAGCGATAAACTCAGTTATGTGGTTATGAGCACATTCTCTGCTTGGCGCAAGTATGCAGCACTTATTTCATTCATAAACCTGCACAGGGCCCATCCTAGGGTAGGGGAATCGCCCAAACGAGTATCTATACATATGCACAAAATGAAGTCATTGGGATAGTCTGCTAAGTAATAGCTTCAAAACCCACAAAGTTCAAGTCCAAAATTAAATTATGTAAATACACACAGCAATACATGTTTGGGTGTTACAAAATTGTACAGTCAATCTCTCATCTTATGCGCAACGAAGGCTCATACTACCTATACTCAATGAGCAATGGCAGCACATGCAGAGTAAAAGTAAACCATCCTATTCATCTAATTTACTCCAACACTACCGAATAATCACAAGGGGCTTTTTCTCCACCCCAAGTCAACCCTCATCCATGAATACTCACCCAGGGGAACATCTCAAAAACCTTGAGTTATCCAGACATGCCTCTGTCATCAATTATCTTTTCTTCGCGCGAATCGTGAACTGAGGCGTCTCCTTTCCAAATTGAGTAGCTGCCCAGACTGCTCGAAATTTACCAGAGAACACCACCAAGAGGCTGACCACGGCACCTTACATCGTTTGCTTGTGTTTATAGTGTCAGCTGCACTCTCGCCATCAAAGTATTAATGCGCACAATATTCTTCAACATTTAAAATTCCTTGGTAAGATTGGGAATCTCACATCCGTCGAGATTGTATTCTTCCCTTGCATCACCTTGTAAACTTGTTCTAATCTCCCTCACTTCCGTTCAATAGTGCTGCCTCCCAGAATTGAATATCACGACTTTTGTCCTGCGCTCACTTACATTTTCCTGGGCGTCTATTCGGTGGGCATCCATGGCCCGAGAACATTCGATGAGAGGCGTAGTGATTAAAATGGAGATTCACCAGGTCTTGTAAATCTGATAAAGCTTGACGAGAATTGATCTTGTCATGAGAAATTGGTTTGTTGGGAAGCCATGAAATAATGTCTGGTGGTCAAGCTTTGCAATAGCCGAAATTGAATAGACCTGGTTTTGAAAGAAAGTTTCCTCCCCAGGCTCATTGCGTACACTGTGGGTAAGTGCTCAGTCCTTGTCTTCGGGCCTCAAGATTATTGTCATGGATGAAACAACGACATTCCAGTATTACTAAAAAGGGGTCCAAATGGCCCCTCTATCATTTCCTACTTCGTACATCTTAACAATATTCGAAGAGTAGTGGTAAGCTAAAATCACAACCAGCCATATGGATCTTCGTAACATCCACACACATTGAATCGAATCAATTCAACGTATCAGGCTACAGCCCTTCACACCGGTAGCTTGCCACAGATGCGTGTCCCCTGAGGGTAGGGAAAGACTGAACACCTGTACGCGGTGTCTTTTACGAACCTGGGAGTGAAATATTCTCCCAGAGCCAACTTCAGTCAAGTTTCGCAATATCGAACAAGTTGGCCCACAAGGCAATAATTCAAAATACACCCCCACGTCGTTTTTTCACTCTCAACGAGTTTGACTCCTACCTAAGCTTCATCAAGTTTACAAGTACGACCTAGTACATCCTCATTGCAATGACCACACCTCCTATCGACTTTCTCTGGCCTCAGCTGGTCGCCAGATACACGCCCACGCCGATTGTTACACCCGACGGAGGAAGCAAAGCATTGCGCACATATCAGGGAGACAGTTCCTTGGGATGGATGTGAGAGGGATCAAGACAAGTTGATAAAATGATGCAAAGGATGTATACAGCCTCTACGGGCCTGGAATTTTGAATTTTGGCAAGGAGTTTTTACAATTTGAGCTTTGTGCGTGCCAAGACCTCGGCTGCGAGAGTGCAGGCGACACTGTAAACACCGCTATGGCTGGATGGTGTGGTGGTACATCGTCCTGGTTGTTCTGCCAAGTAGAGTCTGGATTGCTTGGACACACATCCCACTCGAGACAGTAGATCGCTGGTATACATGGATGACGAAGGCATGCTTGGATAATCAAAGGTTTTGAAATTCCCTTTGTTAGGAATTGACAGAGGAGATTCTACTGTTTGTGAAAGCGAAATTACCTCAGTGGTATTTGCAAATGAAATCTAGAGCATGAGTGTCTCTAACGTCAAAAGAGTCATCCCACATGTATACATAGTACCGGTCATGTGTCATAGCTCTATAGCTGCATACATATTAAATGATTTTAAAAAAAAGTGTCCCCCGAGGACTCATCGCCGCTACTAATACTCGCATTATTTGGCCAGAAGTTTTTATGTGGAGGTCGAAAATATCCTAGAAAGTTGTCGTTGCCCTGACTAGACGCCCTGCACTTAACTACCTAGAAGCCACTCATAGTTGTCCAATAAAATCTAAACTATAATTTAGTGCACTCAGCTGATACCTGTTAGTCCGTAAGAATAATTATGGCTAGAAATATTGCCAAAAAGGACTCTCGTTTTGTTACAGAATTAAACTTGATAGTGAAAAAAAATGTAGATTTGTCGGAAGGTAGTTTAACACTCTGTGCACTAAGCGTGGTGCATCTCTCTGTTGCTGAGTCATCAAGATGACGACTCAGCAACTATCACGAACTAAGCGGTCGCAATGTTCTTAGAAAGAAAATATATCACATACCTCACTCCTGTACCTTGCATTTTACATCGAACTAACCTTACGTATGCGTTAATTAAGGCCAACTGACAAGATTAGATTTCATTACATTCCTATCTACGACTATGACTGTGGAGGAATTCTAGAATCTAAATGAAGGAAACTAACTATATTTGATTTAATTACCCAAGATATCTTTGACTTCTTTCCCTTAGATGGTGTGGAACAAGTCCTATCAAAGTGATCTATCTTAGCATTATGATTACCATCACAGTATAGCCGTAGCTAGTGCCCTCAATATTATGGTATAAATATATATGGATATTTGTAGAAAATTATTACAGGTTTCAGTTTTCGGTTTTCGACCGCACTGTTCATCCTCAAAATAGACAGACTTTAGAGAACAAGCAAGAAATAAGGCCACACACCAATGTTTCGGAAAATAATATTTTGCCCGACAATGAGCTGTCTACTGATTTGAAGGTATGGGTGAGATATAGGCAGTCAGGGACTTGCTACATTGTAAATCAAGATTTATCTCGCTTCATGGATATGATGAACTAAAAACCTTGTGAATAGAAAGATTCTAGTTTCTGATGTTAATTCTATATCCCTCTTTTTACTTTCACAACTATTTCTTTGCTCTGTGAACTCATGGTAGAATTGAATTGACCATAAATTTTAATAAAAGTGCCCTAAATTCTTTGACACTGTCTAGATCTTTAGATTCAGATTTTTATCTTTGACACTATCGAGTGTAAATTTTAGCCGATTTCTCCCTTGTATTTCCAAAAGGAGTAGGGTTTAAATTAAAGTTGAATGTGACCCACAATTCAAAACTCTCTAATATTGATGAATGTTCATGACTTGCCAAAATGCCATCTTCCAAATATTCTGTACTACTCTGTGCTTAAACAAGGTGTAGACTTTTCTACTTCAAGCTTTTCATTAGAAGTATTCGATGCATCTGGCTCAGCCACTTTTCTTGCCGCAGCTGCGGCTGCGCGCTTAACTGGGTCACCTTTGTCTTTGGGCTTCTTGACTTTTTTCTCTGCTTGAACAGCTGGGTATGCACGCGCCTCAATATCTTTCCATTCGTTGTCAGCTTCATAGTCGGCATGGACGGGACTAAGAATATCGTTCAGATGTCTTGTTAGTGCAACTTTGAGTAGCTGAGGAGTAAGCTGTTAAAGTCAGTTTTGAAGTTCCAATAAATAGCGTTTGAGTTACGTACGATATCGGCTGCGTAATCTTCTTTGAGCTGTTGAATAGATGTGTAAACTAGCGAATCCTCATTGCTTTCTCTTTCTACGGTAAAAATAGCGGGGAGCCCTGACTTGAGGGCAATAGCGCGGAATATGACGTGTTCCACGAAAGCTAAGACTCCATTACCTTCTACCTCTTTAGGAACACACTTTGCCTTCTTGAGCTTTTTTCCAACCAAGTCAGGACCATCTAGAACATCAATTTTGGAATCGACGTCACTAGCGCTCATTTTGGCTGCCTCACCCAATCCAGGAACCATGGTGTTCATAAGGTGCGCTCGCATTTTATATCCAATCTTGGGAAGATTCTCAATGGCAAACGTAAATATTTTTCTCTGATCAACGCCGCCAAATTGTGCATCAACATCCAGATATTGCTCGTCCAATGCTTGCATCAACGGATAGATCAAACCACCAAGGGTAGGATCGTCTGTTTGCTTAACCACCTCTGCGCCTGCCTTTTGTGCCACATTTATTCGAGTGATACCTTCCAGCTTGAACCGATCGAGAGTGTAGTCCTTGCCGAGTTGGTACGAACTCCCAAGTATGAATTCAAGCCGTGAGATGTCTACTCCAACGGCCTGAAGTAATGATTTTATGATCTTCTCATAATACTTGGCGCGAAATGCAACAAGCTCTAGTGGTGCCTTCATATTATCTAGGTAGCCATGTATATCTGCAAGTAGTATTTTTACGTGGCAGCCTGCTCGAAGGAGCTCAGCCACCTTGATCATGGGCACTAAGTATCCGCAGTGTGGTCGACCAGTCGTCGCCGTTCCCCAGTAAACCTTGAGCGGTCGCTGCTCAACGCGGACGACATGATCGATAATCTCTGGATTAAGAACCTCGGCTAGATTAGCTTTGATCAAGGCGATTGAATCATCGGGACTCATGGTAGACATGACTTAGTGCTTTAGTTTAAGAATGAGCGTATGTTGTGCGGTTTGCGAGCGAGATAATGGGAATTGTGCGCAATGATGTTGACAGCGATTGACGACGTGGATGATGAGACAAATTCGTCGTAAATCTAAAGATTGACCCTTTGTGCTCTGAGGAGTAAAATATATATTACACCTTGCAGTGTAAGGTCTGGAAGGGGTTTTAGTTGGTCTCCAGTCGTCAGATGGACAAAATGATATTTTTATCGTGTTCACGAGCGCATCAATACTAGAATTACAACTTGATTTCCGTTAATAACTTATCGTGCATTTGGTAATGTGTGTAAGTGATAGAGGTTTTGTATCTGTGTATACCGATATTAGTGAGGGGTTTCTTACACACTTATGAATCATTTCGCATGATTTCGTATCTAGCTGAATTAGGAAAGCAACGGGTAAAACTTGAACGCGTGCGTTGTAGTCCGTATTAACAAACTTATCTCAAATTCCACATCAGTAGTAATAAATTAATTTTTGTTTCCAGCATCACAGGAATAGACGATAGTCGGTAATTATATGTTGTACTTGCAGGCTCGGAACAAAATAACAATGATAATTTGCCAATGAGAACCTCTGCATTAAAATTGAATGACTACTGTGTCTACCAGATTCAGTGCGAGCGAATTTATGTTTCTGTGGCTGGCGTATGAGTTACGTGACTCCAGTTTCATACACCTACTTTCTTTAACCTGGCACTATCATAATCAATCACTTCCACGGCTCTTTTGAGGGCAACATTTTCGAATAAGGGGGTTATTCTCCCGCAGTCGAATAGTAAAACTACAATGTTTAGTAACTGAATCATTCTAAAACTACCATTCAAGCCTAGCCGGAAATTTTGATCTCTTCATCTTAAAGATAAGGTTCGGATATAGTTCCACGGAGTACGGAAAAGAGCTATTTGATAATCAAGATAAAGAAATGCGTGAATATGTTCTATGTGGCCCATACATTATCTAGTACATTACTGGCAAAGATAAATTCCTCACCTTCCAGTGGTGCCGGTGTTATTGCTCAGTATGCTCTGCATGTCTGGGATAGCCAAGAAGAACCTCATTCGAATCGAAGTCGAGAGAAACCTCAAGCACACCTTCATTTGAAGACTTCTCGATAATGCCTCTCTTGCCATTCTTCTCTGAGTGCTCAACCTCGATCTAACCACACATCATCCCGCCTCAACGACTGATAAAGGAGCTGTTCCAATTGCAAGCGGGAGCTTGTCCCATTAATTACGAGCAATCTCCCGACAATTCTACAACGCTACGTATACCCGCAAGGAGGAAATTAATTCGAAGAATACAAAGCTTGAGTCATGGTTTATGTGGGACATTTGCTCTAATGGAGCTATGCATCTTGAGGGAGGACAAGCGGGTGAGATGTGAAGTGAGAGGGGGAATAGGTCTCTGAAGACCATATTTGAATTGACATTTTCGAGGGGTTTTCAGCTTTGAAACGTATGTGGGGGCCAAGACCAAGGTTTCAGCAAATTAGCCAAGAGGACTTCAATTTTCGATGAGTCAACGGCACAAAATATGTTGGGCTAAGCTACCATAAAGCAAACACGCTCTGTCTAGACTTATCTGACACTTCGGCACAACCTTCTGGAAGGGCCTGGAAGGCAGAGTGTCAATTCTTTGAGGTACTCACAAGTCTGCAGCGCACATTTAGTAGGCCTCTTCGAACGCTTCAGAAGAGTAGCTATGTCTGCGGATCTAGTGCTAATGTCGGTAATAGAAGAGCCCCGTACCCGGTGGTTTTTGCGATTTTTCCCTGCTGCCATACACCCGCAAATGACTTTTGTTTCGTTGGATGGAGGGGGGAGATAATGAAGGATAAAGAGCTCCTCCAAGTGTATGATCGAATGAGGACTTATGAGGGGTGGTGCTGTTTGAGGGGAGCTGTACGAGAGGTATAGGTTGGTATATACTACTGGTATAAGTATCCTTGGCCTGTAGGCAGAGAGGACCTGCATCTCCTACATAGTCATAGACTCAGAAAGGACAATAAAATGAATAAAAAAAATGTCAATTGAAGCATAGTCTTCAGAGACCTGTTCCCCCTCTCACTTCACATCTCACCCGCTTGTCCTCCCTCAAGATGCATAGCTCCATTAGAGCAAATGTCCCACATAAACCATGACTCAAGCTTTGTATTCTTCGAATTAATTTCCTCCTTGCGGGTATACGTAGCGTTGTAGAATTGTCGGGAGATTGCTCGTAATTAATGGGACAAGCTCCCGCTTGCAATTGGAACAGCTCCTTTATCAGTCGTTGAGGCGGGATGATGTGTGGTTAGATCGAGGTTGAGCACTCAGAGAAGAATGGCAAGAGAGGCATTATCGAGAAGTCTTCAAATGAAGATGTGCTTGAGGTTTCTCTCGACTTCGATTCGAATGAGGTTCTTCTTGGCTATCCCAGACATGCAGAGCATACTGAGCAATAACACCGGCACCACTGGGAGGTGAGGTCTTAGTCTTTGCCGGCTCGTATGTCATATAGTTATGGCGGTCAAATAATGGGCAGCTTACCACATCTGTCAGGTTATCATAAAAGATGAAAGCAAGCTCCGCTTCCATTTCATTCAGTGTATAACTAATTGCTTTTCTACTGATGAGATGAGGCATACGACGTTCTTTTTTCTTACTTACCTATCGGAAAATATCTGCGTATTTGAGCTACATTTTTACCTTAACTTCTACACGGTGATATTATTTATTAGAAACGTCTCACTTTACCTCTTCAACCTCACTCATCACAATAAATTTACTTCTTTTAGCAGGTTACACAAGATTGAAAAGTTTTTATGCTTTAGATTTTCCTGTGCTCCAATACCTTCAGATTATATCGCTATTGTGGCTGCTTGAAACGCGACGATACCATTGAATTTACCCAAACCTGCCGGAATGTAGCAGGTAACGTATGCTGGTGGAAATTGGGGGAATGATAGATAAAATTAAATTTGAGAAAGCCAAATGGATGTCAAAGTGTTTGGGTACCACTGCGCAGCTTTTCGTGAAGTACTATGTTTATCCTCGACTGAATTTAGCATTATTTACCAAATGACATAGGGTTGGAGGGAGAACAGCAAATGTCAGAAAACACATATGCACCAGCGGCGCACTAAAATTGAGTCGCGCTTCTTTACCTTAAACGTGGACAGTTTCTGTCACGGGATACGCTACTTAACAAACACAAGTGTGATCCGCAAATTCATAAAAGACAAAACGAGTACCCCTCACTTTGAAAGAATATCATAGGCTAGAAGATTAACAATTGTGATTTCTCATAATATGAACACAACAAATGTTCAACTCCCGGTAGCAGTGATTTGTTTCATCAGCGTATTTTTTAGGCTCCACTACTCATCCGTTTCATAATAGAACTTGTACAACAGCTTTCATGGATGCTTTGGAAGATGTTCTGTTCGGCTCCGTATGTTTCAGCCGACCAAACCTTTTTTTACAATCTTGCTAATCTATACTAACATATGCTAGATAGCAGGTCTGATTGGTAAATATGTCGAGTATCCCTTTGATACTGTAAAAGTACGACTCCAATCTCAGCCAGACTGCCTACCCCTTCGCTACACTGGCCCACTCGATTGTTTCAGGCAATCAATTTCCTCCTCTGGAAACAACGTTTCTGGGATTCTATCTCTTTACCGCGGGATATCCGCTCCATTAGCCGGAGCGGCTCTTGAAAACTCTAGCTTATTTTTTTGGGAACGTATCGCGCGGGTAGGACTCCGGCTTTCTGGATTTTTTCCCGAGGATGCCAAGCTTCCATTAGGTGCGCTATGGCTCACGGGTGCAGCTTCAGGTGCGGCAACAAGCTTCTTGTTGACGCCAGTTGAACTCGTCAAGTGCAGAATTCAAGTTGCGACGAATGACAGCGCAACAATCAAGCCATTCACTGTAGTAAAAGACGTTTGGCGATATCAAGGTCTTAAGGGCTTCTGGAATGGTCAGCAAGGAACGTTAATTCGAGAAACTGGGGGCTCTGCTGCTTGGTTTGGCACTAAAGAGAGCGCATCTTCTCTATTTTGCCAGTTAAATCAAAACCCCAACTCACTAACATATAACCCATGCTCTACTAATACGACACCATTACCTCTATATCAGCAAGCTATTGCTGGCGCAATGGCAGGAATGAGTTATAATCTCTTATTTTTCCCGGCAGACACCATTAAAAGCCGCATCCAAACCTCCAGTATGGCTGAAAGAGAAAATGGCTTTTGGCAGGAAGGAAGAGTATTATGGAAACATCATGGATTGAAGGGTCTTTACCGGGGGTGCGGTATTACAGTGCTTAGAAGTGCGCCTAGCAGTGCTTTCATTTTTTGCGTTTACGATGGCTTGAAACGGAGTATGGGGCTCACTGGTTAAGGCTGAAGTGATTTAGGCGTCATTTAATAGACTAAATCCATTTAACATACAGATCATGAAGTAGAAAACATAAGCTTTTATGAATCCGTTGGTTAATTTTTGGACAAATAACTTAAAGCGTACGCCGCTCATGGCAAATAAAGAAACCTGAAAGACCAGAAGGGAATATGCCCGAAAGGATAGTGAACCCCTAAGAAGTATTCAAAGAGAATGCTTAAAGCTTGTTGCAGCTGCCTACAATTCTACCAGCAGCAGAGCGCTAGAGCACGAATCGTCTGTCCTCTTTATAAACTTGAGATAAAGAAAGGTACATCACGCTAGGCTATTAGCTAAATTTCCGATTCAACAGATAATACGATCGACACCTAACAGGATAAAGCTGCTCTTAAACGGGAGAGAAACTCTGCATACATTGAACAGGAGTAATGATATCGCCGAATAGACAAGAATTCGCGGAAGGGAAAAGGACAAGGAGAGGCATAAAGAATTATGAAAAGATAGCGACCTATCAAGACTGGAAGAATTCATGGACAAGCCAGAACAGGAAACAGCGCCTTGGCCTACCAGCATCAGCCGATCTAGATTATGGAAAAGCGACAAATATACTTGCTGATGAACAAACAGGCAGTTCAAAAATTAACTTCAGGGATACACTCTTAAATATCCACCGTAACCTGACCAGGGCCCAAAGCAGTATCGTCATTCAGCTACGAATCGAGTAAATCGGGCTCAATTCTTACCTGTACAAAAGAAAAGACCCCGAAGTAGAAAACCTAAGCTGCCAATATGGACATACGCCACAAAACGTCAAGCATATAGTGTTGGCGTGTCTGCAGTGGGCTAATGGAAGAGGTAAATTTATCCGACTAGCTAAAGCAGGTCATTAGGAGCAATGATTAATAGCCCAGAAGATGTGGCTTGAATCACAAAGTGAACACTAAGCAAAGGATGGATAAAGTAGTTTCGACTTGCAGGGGAAGTCGAGGTAGCAGCGTCTGATAAAAACCCAATTTTGATTGAGAGAGGACGGAATCCACACTGGCTGAATAGTGTAAACTGTCCTTCTTGAAGAGAAAATAGACAAGTTGATAGTAATTGAAACAGGCTGGATCAGGGGATTTTTATTAAATCGGTTTCCTCTATAAATAATGAAGCTAGTCACCTGCATATGCCCATAGGGTGTTACAGGCTAGGCCCGGTTGGTTATGGCTGGGTTGATTAAGGAAAAAGGGCCCATCCTTGTCTTGTAGACTCAAGCGAGTTTGATTTTTGATTTAGAAATCTTTAACGTGACAGGACGAGCCTAATATCTACTTAGATATGACACGGGTAGATGAGGTCTGAGGGCTCATTGCTACCTACATGACCGGCAATAAAGCCAAAAGCGATAAAGGAAAAGAAAAAAAAAAAAGAAAAGTGGTACAGTGAATGTCTAAGCTATAGTGCCCTGCGCCGTATCCCTATCTTTCAAGCACATCTCCTCTCGGGCCAAAAACTGTCTCAGCTTGATCACCTCCCACCCTGTCTATTCTTTGAAAGACTGTAGCATCTGCTTGTGGTTAGGAATTGGATAAACTTCTGCCATCCCCTCTCCCCAATCATCTCCTTGTCTTCAGGCGGGGCCAATCTCTCACAGCTTCTCCAATGTTGCAAAGCAGGTCGGCACTCTGAAAAAAGCCAGGGCCTTTTCTCTCGGCCGCAAACGAATTTCAGACCTTCATGTTCGGGGTTGAAACGTCGATGTTAGTCGTCGTAGTCCCCGTGGCCTGTTCTTGCCGCAATCAGCCGATGGTACGCCCATCTCGGTATAGTTAGTTCCTGCGCTCGTCTGCAGCGCATAAATAGTTTCAGATCTTTATATCATTTCGGCTGATGCTTCTGCCACCACTCTTCCACGAGTTCTGACCCAGTAGTTAAATCCACCTCCCTAATATCGCAAAGGTTAGATCTTGATCTTCTCCACTGGGCTTAGCCGAGGTTAGTGACCAGTTATTGATAGCTCCCAAGGCCGATTTGGCCAGCTTATCGGCCTCTTTATTGCCTTGAATCCCCACATGACCAGGTATCCAGCGTATTTCCACACGCTTATTGTTTCTCAGCGAAGAAAACTTGTCTATCACTGCCTGCGCGAAATTTAATATTCATTTTTCGAGCGCCCGAGCAGCCACTTGATTGTCCAGAAGAATGAAAATCAGTCTGCCTTCTCCTACTGCTATTGCAGCCTCCAAGGCTTTCATGATCGTTTTGTCCAGTAGAGATATAAGCCAGCCTATTCCAGTGCCGAGTTCTTTATCTCGCAGTGAGGTTATTCGAGTGAGACCAGGCCACCACGCTTCTGCCCCATATCGAGCTGTACTCTGAACGCATTCATGTATTGCACGAATTAGAGGTCCGGGGGCTGCACCGCGTTGAACACAGTTCAGATGTCATAAGAAGTAGACTAGACAATTAGCTTTTCCAGTTCATTCCTGTACATGCTGCTTGAAGTTTGGCTGGGTGTCAAGCCAGACTCCTAGCCACCGGATATGAGGTGAAGGTTTGATCCGGCGATCTTTCACCAAGATGGAAAGATCAAATGTGTTGATTTTCTTTCTAGATCCTCCTCTGGTTACTATAAGTTCTGACTTTGCTGTATCAAAATCGATCCTGTGTTCTCTTGCGAGGAGGATAAGGCTGTCGAGGTCGTCTTGAGCTACGGAGATAGCATCCGACGCGTTGTTTCCAACTCTAATGATAGCTATTCCATCAGCATAGTCAAACCCGCTCGTAAAACTGTGGTCCTGAAAAATTACAGCAATATAGAGCATAAAAAGGAGTGGCGAGCCCTGAGGTACTCCACTTTCCAGTATCTTCTCCTCTGTGGTTCCACCGTGGTATTTCTGTTGGTAAAACACCAAGTAATACAATTTGGGTGCCATCACGAAGTCAGCTGTCCGTTACAAAGTCTTTTAACTGGTATTTCAAGATACATAACTTGTTGTCTCTCCCTCCTACTCTACTCCAAGCGCCTCGCTAATGAGCTAAGTCAGAACCACGTCAGTATCCTAACGACAACCTGAATACCGCAATTAGATAGTGTTGTAATTAAGGGAGTAACATGAATGCATTACAATAAACTGTTTACATTAGAATAATGTGAACATGCGCCATGGGATATGATTGACCTAAATCATCACTCATTGGTATGACATAGTATTTCCCAATAGATTCCTAATGGTATCTAATGGCGCTAGGATCTCTCACATCCTTCCTTTCTCGGTTAGACAAGGACAGATGTTGTAACATCCACTAGTGTGCAGAGCCCCCTTATTCATGTATATAGAAGAAGGTCCTTTTTTTTTTTTTTTTTAATTCATATTGTATTCAGCTATCTAGCTATGACAATTTGGTATATTTAACAGTTTAATCAACATCAAAAGCAAATCAAAAATTTAACAACACAAAAACCACTAACATCAGTTTACATTTTGGATGCCATGTCTCATCCTATCAGACTTCTCTAACCATAACTATTACTCATTTCTATTATTTTTTTGCCTTATATATCTCCTTTGTATTTTGATATACACTGAGAAGTTTTTAAAAATTTTAGTAAGGCTTCCCTTCCTCTTTTGGTTCTGAGTATTATTGGTAATATTCTAGGCTCAATGCCAGCAAATGCAATGTCCCTTTCTCTTCGAAATTTGGTGCAGTGGAGAACTAGGTGCTTTGTTGTCTGCTTTCTGGAATGGCAGAAATTACACCAATGATCTTTCACCTTTCCAATCATGTTTAAATATGCTCTTGTATTGCCTATTCCAGTTAGGACTTGAAAATATCCAGATTCTTCTAGCCTGTTGTGGCCATGGAAGTCAAATGGTCTTAGAGTAATATTTGGTGTGTGAAGTTGAGCTTGGATCCTATAATATCTGCCGAGCCCCCTGCACTTTCTTCCTTCCTCTTCCCTTAGCAATTCTGTTTCCCAGTATTTTTGCCATTCCTTGACTATATATTCTTTTGACTTTTGTTTTAGAAAAGAATGTGAGGTGAACATGTCTTTCTTGAAAGCTTTCTTTTTTGCTGCCCCTTTGGCTAGTGAGTCTGCAAGCTCATTGCCCTCAATTCCTAAGTGGCCTGGACACCAATCTATTTTAAGGGAACACTCTTTAGCACTATTCCGAATCTGATGTGCTTGATGATTAGTTTTCCCCATAATCCTTTGTAGGCTTGCTTGGCTATCTGTGAAGATCTGGTATGGAGCAGCTGGAATTAATTTCTTCAAGTATTGAATAGCTTTAAGGATGCAATAAGTTTCAGCATCTGTTATCCCAATTGATTTTCCTAGGTTGTAAGAAATGCATTTTATCTCCCTTGTGAATGGTAGGTAAATGACAAACCCTATGCTGCTAATATTATCCTCTGATAAAGAACCATCTGTGTAAACAATGGCAACATCTAATGGAATTTCTTTGATGAAGGTTTGATGTTCAATGCAGGCCAACTCCTTTGGTTTGGTAGAAATGTTGATACTGATTGATGGTATATTCCAAGGTGCCATCCACATTGAATTATTTGCTTCTAACTTTCTGAGTGAAGAAAAGGGTTGTAGCAATGCCCTCAACCTTGATAGTTGTGTCTGTTGCTTGTCTAACATATTGAATATTCCCAGGTCTGGACATGTACTTGCATTTAGCTCATCCTGAAGTGGATCAATTAGTTGTTGCTGGACTGGGTGGCTCTGCTGTAATTTTAGTAATCTCAAGGTATAGTTGAACTCATGCTTAATATGTCGTATTTTTGATGGCATGATAGCTGCCTCCACTTCAAGGGCCTTGATAGGGCTCTTTGGGAAAGAAGAAGGTCCTGTCACGTAGATAAATTAAGCAATTCATACAATAGGAAATTCAAACAATCTCCATATTATTCACACACTTGAGAATACTAGGGAATATCCTCAAGTTCGTCCATTGATCCAAGTCCTAAGAGTATAACTCACGAACTTTACTTCTCTTAAAGCCATA